GTCACTCAATAAGGGCGTGGAAATGAGAGTTGAGTGGTGTGTGTACAATGATTATGAGTGAATGGTATAATTATAACTTTCAGTGTGTGAATTGAAAAAATTAATTAATAATTAAATTAATAAGTGTGTGTACTGAGAGAAGATATATACTGAGGTAATTAAATGTGTGAAAATAAAATTTCTCTGGGTGTTGTGTTGTGTTTTTTTTTGAAATAGTTTAGATAGATAATAATAATAGTAGTAGTAGTAGTAGTAGTAGTAGTAGATAGAAAATGTCTAGGCTTTTAGAGATTTTTAACATGGTAATAGATAGATGAGATATGATCCAGACCCCAGCAAGCCCAGCACCTCCACACATTTGTGAGAGAGGGGAGGAGAGAGAGAGAGGAGAAAAAAAAAAGAATAAAGAAAAAATATAATGTGGGATCATAAATCAATTGAGAGCTGTGAGGGTCAAAAATTGTTGGGTATGTATTTTCCTAGACAGATAGATAGATAGCATATCAGTGCACTTACTTAGGGATTGCAAAACAAACTCTAAAGTGTTTCAACCCCAATCACAAGGAAGTTTAACCCAAAAAATTAATCAAGGAAAAATTAGAACATTGAAAAAATTGTTAAAAAAATAATTGTCAGTGTTTTCCAAAAAATACTATAAATTTATATATATAAAAAATTAAGACTTTAATTATTAATACTAATAAAGTTAATTATTAGTTTATAATTAATTTTTAAATTATACATTGAATAGAAATTTTTCCTAAAAAAAAAATCACATCACTTACGTGGGCAAACAAAACTGCCCTTCTGTACCTAGAATTTTGAAAAAACTATATAAAATCCTATGGAAAAAATTAATTAATTCTTAACTTTATCAATTTAAATCATAATATTTTAATTTATTTTCAATTTAAATGATTGGCTTATTTTCCTTAACTAATTCTGAGAGGAAAAAAAATTATTTTAGTCATTAAACTCAATGAAAAATGACATTTTAGATAATTCTATATTTAATAATAAAATTCAATATAGGTATATATTAACAAAAATTATGTAAAATACTCTAATAACTAAAATATTATTTTTTTTCGTCACTTTTAGTTAATGAAAACAGATAGATGATTTCGATTTAAAATAAATTAAAAAGATTAGAATTTAAATTGATACAATTAAAACTTAGAATTTATTTCGTTACAAGTAAACAACCTTAAGATTTTTTTTTGTAATTTCTTCTAGAAATTTTCTTTTGTTTATTCTTAAGAAGTGAAATAATCTGAAGGGATAATTACAAAATTAATACTAATAATAAAGATTTGATTTTTTTTTTTTTGGGGGGGGGGGGGGGTGTTTTCATCAATTATATCCAAGCAATAGCATATTATGATGAGAGGTCCACCATAGGCCCCGTTTGTTTTTAGAAATAAAATAGAGGAATTTCACGGTGAGGAGATTTATAGTAAAGAGATTAAAGTAAAATTGTGTTTATTTTGATGATAGTTATTGGGATAGGGATTGTTAAATTATTTTAATATAAAATAATAAAATAATAAAATAAATAAAAAATACAAAAACATTAAACATTAATGTTCAAAAAAAATGCCCAACATGTAAAAAATATAAAAAAAATAAAAGATGTCCAGAAAAAAATAAAACAAATAAAACAATGATTTTTACTTAATAAAAAATACAAAAAATTAAATATTAATGTTAAAAAAAAAATTGCCCAGCATGTAAAAAATAAAAAATAAAAATAGCTTGGCAGATTATTTTTCTAATACCAAATGTTAGAGGTCCATCCGAATCCTCTCCTCAAAGGGGATTCATAATTCGGAGGGGATTACGAATCCCCTCTCCATCTCTCAAAATAAACACAAAAATAGTGAGTCTTACTTTACTATCAATCTCAATCCTCTCTCTATAACTCCAAACAAACGGGCCTAGGAATGTTGTGTATTCTTAACTCCTCTAGTGCCTCATGCGTTTTGGTTTGTATGACATTTTATTTTTGTTAGAATCATACTAAATGTTGAGTGCATTCTTAATTTAGGAATAATATGAAATATCTCCATCTAAAAAAAGTATAAAATATTAGTAATAGACAAACCTAGAAAATATATCTAAAAAAGTACTTAAAAAAACATATGTATGGATCACAATCCTTTTAGATAGGACTTACATCACATAAATTTTAAATTTATACCATACAATTTTCAGAATAAATTCCAGATTATATGTTTTTGATGGTCCATAGAATTTGCGTTTTTGAAAAGTTGTATCTTGTTACAACTCTCGAATTGCATAAGTTTATTTTTTTTAATTCAATAGGTAAATGACATTTAGATGACTAGAGGGTAAGTCTTGCGAATGTTATGTATTAGTTTGCTTTATAATTCAACTGTTTGAACCAGGGGTCTGAACAAATTTTAGGAAACTTTTTGTTCACTATTTTTCAAATGGGTATGATGTTCAAATTGATGGGCTTTTTATGGTTAGTATTATTTTTTAGAGTTAATTATATTTTTAGTTTCAAAATATGATTTTATATCATTTTTGTTTTCAATGTTTAAATTGTGTCAATTTGCTCTTAAATGTATAAAAAATATTTCAATTTGCTCTCATAATTTAAGTCTGTTCTTGAGGGACTAAATTGAAATATTTTTTATATATTGGGGACCAGATCAACACAATTTAAACATTGATAATCAAATTGAAATGCGGTAATTTTATACATTAAAAATCAAATTGATACAATTTAAATATTAGGGACCAAAATGACATAACACTCATATTTTGAAAATCAACAAATGGGACGAAATAATTGGAAAAATTATTGGTTGGTCCTGGGACACACGTGGCCATGCCTCAGTCTAATCACAAATCCCATGCGCGTTCATGTTCCTCAATCACCTAATACAAAATCGTAAGCCCCATCCCCTCTACCCATCATAATTCATGTGGAGCGCCACGTGACACTACTCTAAACCAACCAATAACTTTTCTAGAAGAATAGACACTCAATTCATAGAAAAAATTATTGGTTAGTCTTAGGGCACCGCATGGCAATGTCTCAGGCCAATCACAAATCTCTATATCCCTTCATGTTTTCTAATCGCTCAACAAAATCGTGAGCCCCACCATTTCTACTAATTACAATCTCTATCAATCACAATGAATGTAGAGCACCACGTGACATTGCTCCTAGACCAACCAATAACTTCTCCAATAGATCATCTCTGTCATAACTGTCATATCAGAGATATTAATGTATTATTTTGTTCTATTACTATTTGTAGAGAAGCGTTATTATTTAAACTATCCAATTCTACTTCTTCAGTATATCTAATATTCATATTATCTATTGGTAAGACTAAAAAATCAGACTCTAATATTAATCTGAACACACAACAAAATAAAATATCTTTTAAAGACAATAAAAATTTAAAAGGACAGGATTTTTTTACTAATTTATAATACGTATAGGCATATGTTTTATTTTTGTAATCCTTTTAAGGACTAAATAAGTTTGAATTAAATATTTTAGGGACTTCATAGATTCAAACGATAGTTTAGGGCTTAAATAGACTTTGATTTATATACTTTGGGGACTAAATAGATTCAATTGATAGTTATTAGACTAAATAGATAATTTGATGATAGTTTAGGGGTAGAAAATGTAATAAATCCAAAACTAATTTATGTGTCTTTTAATCAACCAAATAAAAAGTCCCCATTAGAAGATTAACTAAATTGAGAGGAAAACTTTCTTTTACTGAATCTGATGAAAAAATTACAGATGATGATTACAGTACCTTCCAAGTTGTTTTCAAAAATATCCTTGTATAGAAAGAGCTGTTTTGGGTAAAATTTATAAGTTGATTTTTTTATTTATTACGAAAAAACGAGCAGAAAAATAGAGAAAATATGTGACTGAAATAAGTCAATAAATAACTTATTTATGTGCTCACCAAAGAGGCCAGATTACGAGACCATTGAATCAGGATGGATGGACAGTTAGTATGTTGTTTAATTAATTATCCTGATATATATGCTTAATTTTCAAGTAAATCGTATATAGAGACCATAGCAACCTTGATTATTTGTATATTAATTATCTTGATGCTCTGCAATTTACATAAATTGGCTAGTTTCGTTGTTCTATGTTACTTATATCACTCAAATTAGGAGCTACCATACATGTCATAAGGATTTTTTTTTTTTGATAATCCGATATTTGGATCAATTTACGCACAACCTCGACTAATCCTAAAAGACTAATTCCATAGTTCACTTGCAGGAACCCCCATTAAAAGTCAAAACAAGCAGCATATTGATCATAAAATGGTTGCTGATGAACAATTTAAATTTTGTTACAGAATTTATATTTTCGTACTTTGTTTACTGGGAATTTTTTGGTACATTGTCTTTTGGAGTTTACGACAACTCCGGTGCTTTTAAGTTTCCCATGATGACATTGAAGATGATGACGACGACACGAGTTTCTTGGAACAAAAGAAGCAAGCATTTAAGAACCTTAATTCAAATATTCTGTAGAAGATTTAGTGTAATCAATTTATTATCTCAGTTATATCTCTATTGCATTATTTTAAAGTTGTAAAATAGTTGCACGAACTAATCAAATTAAAAAATAAAGTAAAAAAATTTCAATACAACTATTGTTATTATTGATATAACGAAAGATTCCTTATTTTTTCTCCTCTTGTTTTCCCTTGACAATTTATACACATTAATTTGATCCTTATAATTTTAATTACATTCTTTTTAATGACATACAGAAATGTTATTGAGGTTACTAAAGTGAGTACAAAAGTAAACTGAGACTTCTCCAATGTAATGTGAAGTGCTGAATAGAATTTACATATGGTGAAGAATACAGCGGTTCATTTTTGCAGCACAAAAAAATTCAGCAAAATTATTATACTAAGAAGAAAAAAATCGCCAAGGCTAATACAAAAAATCCACAGTTTTGCACCACAAAAAAATTCAGCAAAATTATTATACTAAGAAGAAAAAAATCACCAAGGCTAATACAAAAAATCCAAAAAGCTATGGTTATGATTCCACAGAATGTATTATGAAAGGCAATCTTAATTCCAGTGCACGGGACTTTTAGCAATGCAAGAGTCAGATCAAACATACATAGTATTTATCTCTGCATGTAAAGAGGTTGTTTCCTAATCATATATTATTATATTGTTGTGTAATTGTTCCTTTCTCCTTAATTAGTAGGAGGCACATAAAATTTGGAATGGAAGGATTGAGCAGCCTCTAACAATCCTAAGGTTTTATTTACATCACCATATAGTTTATGACTTTTAGATCTAGTTGCCCGGGATGACTTTAACAAGTCCTCCAACGGAGGAGTTTTGAGTTCTTCAATTGATGTTGGTCTCGGTAAAGTAAATGGTTGCTTCTGTGGTGCTGATAATGAGTGGTGATTATCCACCTGGTTAATAGAAACACAATACATACATATAGATAAATATTTCAGTGACGAATACAAAACAACGATTTAAAAAAAACAAAAAAACAGACAGGGCAGTAATATGAATTTTTTTAATTTGCCAAAATTAATGAAAATTAATACTAATTTAAAACAAAAAAACACCATCAAGTTAGATCAATGTTGTGTTAGCCTTTAGGGATTCCTTAGGAGGCAGTCTCTGAACTTCACACAATTGTGCATAGATTTGTGTGTGACGCTGTCAATTGCTTGACATGATTCACTTAGGTAAGTTAGGTAATCAAAGCAAGTTCAAGTTTCAAGACCAATCCCTTGCAGATTGTTCTAATCAACCAAATAAAAAAGTTCCCATTAATTAGAAGATTCTCACCTTTTGAAAATGCACAGAAATTTCAGATAAACAAGATCTGGGCACTAGGGGAAGCTCTGGTGTAGAGACACACTTGTTCTTGAAGAAACTCTCTCTGATTAATAGGAACACGACATTGAAGCGAAAACACATCTAGATATTGCTCAGGATCTTCAAAAACCACAGACATAGTCTCTAAACTCACGGTCCTTTCCAACAATAGCTTCACCAGCTCCATCTCATACTTGTATCCAGAAAAGTACAACAACTCAATAGATTTAAGCTGAAGTAGAAGACTAACTTGTGGTAACAGTTCTCCAGCCTGCGGGTTGATCTCTATAAATTCGATTGCCCCATGGGGATAAAATCGTGTTATATCCATTGTAGGCAATTTCTTGTGTGTCCCAGTCCAACAAGACAATCGAAACTGCATTGCATAAAATGCTAACATTGTGAGAATTTGTTAAAGAATAGAAAAAAGAAGACAACATAAAAGCACGAGTAAAAAACTTACATCAATTTTAATTTTCTGGAGAAGGGGGCAATCTTCCAAAAAGGCAAAGAAGATAACCATATTGTATTCTTCCTTTAGTTGTGAACCCATAAAATAGAATTCCTTGAGGTTCTTGAATATAGTACATCGTTTTCCATTCCTATAATATTCTTCGATTACAAACTGTACAATTTCCAAAAGAGTAATTAAAAAAGAAAACACACAAAATTAGCAACAATAGAGAAATTATGTGGGTTTGACATGAATAATCAAGCAGTTTCAGATTGACATCTGTACTGTACCTGAAGAACCCAATCATTAGCAGCAAGAACCTCAACCTGAGCTAGTTGATCCAGCAATATTCTAACATTGCTTTTCCGCAAATCCCAATTCTCCAAATCCCAATTCCCCACATCAAAAAGATTCGCGCCAAGAAGGCTACAAGAATTGTTAAGCCGGAGAATATTCAAGCAACGCCAGGTCTTCAGGGTTGCTAAATTGGGCGCATCCACTTGTAATGTAGTCATTTCTCCAAGGTTTTCCCGATAAAATACAAATTCCTTAAGAGCCGTACCCGAGACCTTAACGTTGACAAGACCATAGCAAAAGTGAAGAGCTAAACTCTCAAGTAGCAAACATGTAGACATAACAGCTTCAAGTGCTTCATCAGTAAGTTGAGATCGAAAAAGAGTGAGCTTTTTCAAAGATACAAAAGGTGGTGGTGGTGATGGCAGTGGATTAAAGTCAACGGAGGTCATTACCAATTGTTCTAACGATTCAGTATCATAAAATGAATTCGGCAATTGAAACAACCTGGGACAGTAGGGTTTTACAAACCAGTAGAACTCGAGAAATCTAACGTGCTTTGAAGCGGCGAAATCAACCCAGCTTTCAATGTCAGGGTTGAAGGAATCGGAAGTGGAATCACCAACCACGGTGATGATGGTGAATTTTTGAATTATAGGGGCTTTGTGAAGGCTAAGACACCTATTGACAAAGCCATAGTCTACGACTGGTTCGGTGGTTGAAGAAGAAGAAGAAGGAAAAGGTGGGAAATCGAGAACGGGGTTAAATTTCCAGAGATGACGCCACCTGTTCGATAAAATGCCTGTTTGAATCGCAAACTTCATCGGCATGAATGAAAGGATGTGGAGAATGACTTCATCAGGTAGAGCACTAATACGATCAACTTGTTCTTCCATGGAGTTCGTCTGATTATGATGGGAGAAAGAAAAGAAGAGATAGCAAAGAGAGAGAGAGAGAGAGAGAGAGAGAGAGACCTGACCTGAGCTTCAGGGGACCATATCAATGGTGTATGTCCATCACACTTTCTCCATGGTCTCAACGATTTGAATTGCACTCGCAGGTGGCAGCGTCTTCTCCTCTCCAACCTCTCAATCCTAACCCTAACCCTAATTCCAAACGAATATCTAACCTTTCTGTGGTTGTTACGTGACATGAGGAAGGACACGCTTTTCTAGCTATATTTGAATCGGGATTGTCTCCAATTGGCAGTCTATGTGAACCGTTCAGTCTGATCCTTCTAAGATTTATTTTCGCTGGTACCGATAATTTGAATTGTTTGATGATAATTCATAATTATTTTATTTCTGCAAAAGGTTGATATCAATAATTTGAATTGTTTAATGGTCATTCATAATTATTTTATTTTTATAAAAAATTATGTTAATTAGATATTGTTATTTACTTGATCAATTCATATTTTTGTCAATAATATTTAAAAAATCATATTTACTATTTATAGAAATGTGAATTGATTAAATAACTATCGATATCTGACCAACATGATTTTTTTTTATAAAGATTAAATTCTCGACGAGTTTTACACATTAAACGGTTTAGATCGTTGATTAGAGCTCCGTAGTGGGCTTACAGAAATCCAATAACAGAGTCCAGTCCGATTAGGACCACAGACAAATAAATATTATTTTTAACTTTTTATAAAAAGATGTACAGAAAAATAAGAGAGTGATGCGATCCAAATAAGTGTATTTATCTAAACTAGTTAAAATACGCATATGTTGCATGTGGTTGTTTTGGTTGAACTCATTTTTTCACTAATGGTAGAAGGTAGTATTCATGGATTCAAGTAAAATTTTGAAAAAATTTGAGATCAACTTTTGCAAGGTACTATCTGCATGTATATCATTTGAAAATGAAATTGAAGTTAGACAAAATAAAAAATATAAATTAAATACAATCAAAATAAGAGAGCTATTTTCCATATTGCAATATTGCAGATAGTCTTGTGAAAAAATATATATCTATCACGCACGCCAAAAAAATTGGAGTCAGCTCACCTTCCGTTCTTAATCGAATTGGACGGTGCTGTTCGGCCTATGGGGTCCCACCACGGGTCCCGTTTTGATAATTCGAACTGTTCAATATGTATAACTCATCGAGTACTATATGCCTGTAAAATATCACATTGATCGGATATCAATAGCTATTTTATTTTATCAGTTTTTTATCAATCGTTAATTTGTTCACTGTTCATTTTTTTTATTATAGAAAACTGATATGATCACATTGCTATCGATATCCGATCAACGTGATTTTTTACATGCATATAGTACTCGATGAGTTCTACACATTGACGATTTGGATTATTAAAATGGGACCTGTGGTAAGTCTCAACGGGCCGAACAGCACCATCCAATCCAATTAAGGACTGGAGGCGAGTTGGCTCCAAAAAAAAATATAAAAAAAAAAAGGTGTGAATTAATTTATGTGCAGTTGTGTTTACATTGTATAATGAAAATATAGGCAAAAATATAGTTTAAAAAAATTAAACCAAAGAAAGTTGTTATTTAGAATTTTGACATACATGGGCTATTAAAGTACTATGCAAAATAATACAATTCTAAAAATCTAAACAAAGAGAAAGTGTATAAAAATAGCTTGTAAATTCTTGAGATACAGTACGAAACCGGATGTGTCTCCTTCTATGTAGATTCGAATAGATGTATATAACTCTAAGATTCATTCCAAAATATTCACAGTATTTTTGTGTAGATTCAAATAAATGAATATAACACTAAAATTCAACCCAAAATATTTACAGCGGTCTAATCCATGATGGACAGTTGTAAATAATATGTATAGCAGTATGGAAGTAGATAGAGGAAATAAGAAAGATTTTATAGTTCAATTATCAATTCAAAAAATAGGGAGACAGGTTTGTTAAAGGACTTTGGAAACAGAGGAATAGGAAATTGATCTCTTTTTAGTGTTAATTAAATAAATAAATGTTAATGTTAAGAAAAAAAAAATATTTGATTTATATAGGACTCTTCATGACTTTTGTGCATGATGCAGTGGTTGAATTTAAATCCAAAACCTTTTAAATTATTGGTTGGTCCTGGGACACACGTAGCCATGCCTCAGGCTAATCACAAATCCCATGCTCGTTCATATTTCTCAATCACCTAATACAAAATCGGAAGCTCCATCCCCTCTATCCATCATAATACATGTGGAGTGCCACGTGACACTACTCTGAACCAACCAATAACTTTTCTAGAAGAATAGACACTCAATTCATAGAAAAAATTATTGGCTAGTCTTAGGGCACCGTATGACAATGTCTCAGGCCAATCACAAATCCCTATATCCCTTCATATTTTCTAATTGCTCAACAAAATCGTGGGCCCCACTATTTCTACTAATTACAATCTCTATCAATCACAATGAATGTAGAGCACCACGTGACATTGTTCCTAGACCAACCAATAACTTCTCCAATAGATCATCTTTGTCATAACTGTCATATCAGAGATATTAATGTATTATTTTGTTATATTACTATTTGTAGAGAAGCGTTATTATTTAAACTATCCAATTCTACTTCTTCAGTATATCTAATATTCATATAATCTATAGGTAAGACTAAAAAATCAGACTCTAATATTAATTTGAACACACAACAAAATAAAATATCTTTTAAAGGCAATAAAAAATTTAAAAGGAGAGGATTTTTTTACTAATTTATAATACGTATAGGCATATGTTTTATTTTTGTAATCTTTTTAAGGACTAAATAGGTTTGAATTAAATATTTTAGGGACTTAATAGATTCAAACGATAGTTTAGGGACTAAATAGACTTTGATTTATATACTTTAGGGACTAAGTAGATTCAATTGATAGTTATTAGACTAAATAGATAATTTGATGATAGTTTAGGGATAGAAAATGTAATAAATCCAAAACTAATTTATGTGTCTTTTAATCAACCAAATAAAAAGTCCCCATTAGAAGATTAACTAAATTGAGAGGAAAACTTGCTTTTACTGAATCTGATGAAAAAATTACAGATGACGATTACAGTACCTCCCAAGTTGTTTTCAAAAATATTCTTGTATAGAAAGAGCTGTTTTTGATATAATTTTTAAGTTGATTTTTTTATTTATTACAAAAAAACGTGCAGAAAAATAGAGAGATTATGTGACTGAAATAAGCTAATAAATAACTTATTTATGTGCTCACCAAAGAGGCCAGATTACGAGACCATTGAATCTGGATGGATGGACAGTTAGTATGTTGTTTAATTAATTATCATGATATATATGCTTAATTTTCAAGTAAATAGTATATAGAGAGACCATAGCAACCTCGATTATTTGTATATTAATTATCTTGATGCTCTACAATTTACATTAATTGGCTAGTTTCGTTGTTCTATGTTACTTATATCATTCAAATTAGGAGCTACCATACATGTCATAAGGACTTTTTTTTTTTTGATAATCCAATATTTGGATCAATTTATGCGCAAACTCGACTAATCCTGAAAGACTAATTCCATAGTTCACTTGCAGGAACCCCCATTAAAAGTCAAAACAAGCAGCTTAATGATCATAAAATGGTTGTTGATGAACAATTTAAATTTTGTTACAAATTTTATATTTTCGTACTTTGTTTACCGGGAATTTTTTGGTACATTGTCTTTGGGAGTTGCCGAATTTTTTGGTACATTGTCTTTTGAGAGTTTACGACAACTCCAATGCTTTCAAGTTTCCCATGATGACATTGAAGATGACGACGACGACACGAGTTTTCTTGGAACAAAAGAAGCAAGCATTTAAGAACCTTTATTCAAATATTCTGTCACGACCACATTTTGGCCTTAGTAGAGTGGTGCTATGATGGCCAGTAATCTGAGATTATCAAAGATCCATTGCAAAGTTACACACAATCAGAATATACATATGGGGCTTACATGTGCGGAAGCAATAAATTTAAATCTAAATAGTCCACAAGAGCTGTGCATAGATCAAATGAAATGTCATACATAATATGATTTACAGCTTGAATACAAATAAATTAAGTACATTTTACATCTTGATCAAAAGGCTTCTCAAGCCAACATATACAAAATGAATGAACTACAAAGCCAAGAAGCATAATCTCCAAGATGGTGCAAAACGTGCATCCAAAACAAAATACAATAAACATCTAGGCGTCGCCGCCTTCTTACTCGTCACCTACATATATATATATATATATATATAAGAGAGGGTGAGCTTGAATACTCGGTGAATGATATTAGTAATAAAGGTTTGCATGAATGATATTCAAGATCTTTGTCAAAACAATACATAGCGTATCTTGTACCAAAAATCAAGAGATGAACCAAGTTCATCTATCAAATCTTTCAAAACTTCAAGGGATGCTTACTAGCATCAATATAATACAAAGGGATAACATTCCTGACAAAACAAGGGAATAATCGACCCGGAATCGATTAGACAAACCCACCCGCATAAGGCCGTCGGTGGCAAGGGAGATATCTCAAACAAGAGTGCTAGTTGCATTATAGTCCCTTAGCACTAAGGACTTTCAAAACAAGGGTACTAGTTGCATTATAGTCTCCTAGCACTAAGGACTTCCAAGAATGTCATCAAAACAAGATAGTACTTGATACAAAACTAGGAATAATCATTCATACTTGAAGAAACACTTTTCCAAAACAAAACAAACAAAGCTTTTATCAAAACGTTAGAACATAACTTTATTAAAAATACCACTCACATAGTTCTTCGAGTGTAGGGATTAAAGTAAGGATCCAAGACCTATAAACATATAATAATTCCCATTGAATGTACTTCAAGAAGACAAGAAGAGATGTTCCAAAATAGATATGAAATGCAAATGATCTTGGTATTCTTTCAAAACTAAGTTGAACCAAAACAAAACACTGTTTCTCATCTCAGGAAAACAGGCTGGGTACCAACCAGGTCTTGGCCGAGGTCCCACACCTCTTGGCCGAGGTGTGTTCCCGATGACCACATTCAAGAAAGTGAAATCGGGAAAATCTGGGTTTCCCTTCGAAGAACATGAAGAACATGAACATGAAGAAAATGAATGCAAAGATCATAATTTGTTATTACAAAATCTGAGATTTCATGAGATGAGTTCAAAGACATAGACCTGAGTACCCATACTTGGAGATTTGGTGAAAACAAACACAAAGACATGGATCTTGATACAAACTTTCGGATCAAA